TCCTGGAGCTGCCACCACTGAGCACCTGTTGAAGTCCCCACCCTTAGTAGAGCCCCCACCCAGGCAACCCTTAGAGCCTCCTGGTCCTGTGGCTGCTGTCTGTTCAAATGCCTTCTGTGAGCATCCAAGCAGTGACCAGAGTGAGGAGATGAAGCACCTCCCTCTGCTTGCCATGTACTTTCCCTCTCTAGGCAGCTGTACAGAGTACAGCGCAGCAGGGAGAGGAGGAGATGGGCCCACCCAGGGAGGGGGGTCCTCCAGTGGGCATCTTGCCTGAGGACCCTCCAAAACCTCGAGTTGGTTGTGGTATTTTATAACAACAGTGGGTATAAGAGCAGGAAGACCCTCTCCTCCCTCAGAAAAACAAACCCAACTCTGAGGGCATGTGACACACTTCAAGTTTGACACCTCTGGTGTAACTAACCTGTAAAGTGATAGGGGCCTAAAGCAAGAGAGCAGTTGTGCAAGTGTGGCCAGTCTGGGTCTCCACTTTATACTGCTGCCAGAACATGCCTCTCCTGGTTCATTCATTCAGTCATCATTCATTCATTCATTCATTCATTCATTCATTCATTCAGAACATGCCTCTCTTGGTTGGTTGGTTGGTTGGTTGGTTGGTTGGTTGGTTCATTCATTCATTCATTCACTCACTCATGACAGGCAGCCCTGTAGATGTTGCTTGACTCCAGCTCCTTTTAGCCCCAGCCAGCATCACCATTAGTCAGGGATGATGGAAGTTGTAGTCCAGCAATGTCTGGGAGGGCTACACATCCCCTGTGCCTAATTTATGGTATGCTGCTTTTCAGGCGTACCTCGCAGAGCGGTTCACCAAAGACAGTTGCACAATTAAGCATCAATTAAGAAGGAAATGTGATATAAGGGGACTACCACTGCGAGGTGGGTGGTGGCAGCTCGCCAGACCACTCCTTTCTCCTCCCCTCCTCCCTCAGGGCAAGGTGGTTGCCCACTTGGGCGGTATACAAATTCAATAAATAATATTAATAACAAATAAATAGAGGAGGAATTGGCCAAGGGGCAGCATGCAGGCTAAGGGGAGCTTGCCCCAGTGAACTTCTTCCTCTGCTGATAGCATGGGCCCAGCCTTACCTGTAATAGTCTTCTTGGCTGGGGAGGTGGCCCCCGTGCATGTGGGGGTGCCCATGCAGCCACTGCTGCTCCATGGCTAGTCTCTGAAGCTCTGCTGACTGAGCATGCATGGCCTGTAACTGGTGGGCTGCTGACATGGGAGGAGGGATGCCGCCAGGGAGGTCACGTGGGTAGGGGGTACCTGGGGAGAGAGAAGAAGAGAAAAGGTTGTCGCACACAAGTTTAGACTGGCCAAGGCATGCCTGGTAACTGCAAGCTGGGATAACAGTGACTGAGCAGATGGGTTGCACCCAATGCTAGTCCTACTCGATGCCTGAAATCAATGGAAATGACTTGTGTGGGTCTACCCTGAGTAGGATTTACCTGCATGTGACTCAACTGTGGAATGCCGTCCACATAGGAAAGGGCCTGATCCCTGGTACGAAGAGTCTTTGAATGAGACTCCCCCAGTCAACAGCCTTAATTTCATAAGTCAGTCAGTCCAGAGACAGCTGGGATACCAGGATAAATGCATTAAATCACTGGTACCCAATAAAAATCTAAACTAGGTGCATTTGTCTATTAAAGACAATTGGCAATAATATCCACACGGCGTACAGAAGCAGGATACCTCTGGACACCAGGTGCTGAACAGCATCCCTGCAAGGGGGGGGGGGGCAAATGCTCTGGTTGGAGGAATCTGATTGGCTGCTGTTCAAAACCAGATAGCCCTTAGGTCTTGTATTTTTCATCTGCATCAATCTTCCCCAACTTGCCACCCTCCAGATACTGCTGTCAGACTCCATGCCCCACCGGCTCCAAGTGGCATGGCCAATGGCTAGGGATGATGGGGGTCGTAGTCCAACAACCTCTGGAGGGCATAGGTTGGGCAACACTGGCTTCCCAAGGGCTGCTACTGCACACTTACCAAAGACCGGGTGCCGGAGCATTTCGTGTTCGTGGGGCGGTTGCCCTAGCAACGGGTTTGGGATAGTGCCGGGAGGATAAGGGAAGCGCGCCAAATGGGGCCCGGCTGCCAAGGGGTCCACGAGGGGATGGACAGGTCCTGCCGAGCCTGCAAAAGGGAAAGGTTGGGGGCGGTAGGAAAGAGGGGGGGAAAAGCAACGACAACTTACCACCAGGCTCAGAAACCCTCATTTTGTTCAGGGGTCAAAAGCAACATTAATACTTGCGCAAATAGCTGAGCATAACCGGTAATTATCAGAAGCCTAGTCCCCCCTCCAACTGTGGAGCCTACTTCTCTGTCTGGAGTGTTCGCAGTGACATCGGGTGGCCAAACAGTCTTTGAGAGTTAAAACAAAAGGGGAGAAAAGGGGAGGGGGGGAAGAGGAATGAGCTTTCTTATTAAGAAGGAAAAAGGGAACTGCGTACAAGAACAACAGAAAATCAATTCACCATTCATTTACTATTCCTTTTTTAGACACGTCCCATAAATGCCCTGGAGGTGGCATCTGAGGCACCGCACACAAGACACAAAGCGTATCATAAAATTAATCATCAAAACATTTTAAAAATAAGCCCCAATAATGCCACAGAATGGCAGAGATCCTTTTTCCTCCTGTGAGAGACAAAGCTCTCCTAAGAAGGGGAGTTTTTCCTAAAAAGAGGGCAGTGAAGCAGCCGGATGGGCTCCTCAAGGTAGATGCCTCTGCTGAGAAGGCTCTAGACCACATTGCCGCCAGAAGACATTCAGATAATAATGACACTGTGAACAATGTAAGGGAAACACGTGCAATATAAGCCTCTTAGAAGTGTTGCCTTTCCTGCGGAGCGTGGTTGATCTGCACATCTGTCTGCTAACCTCCCCACTCCCCCAGGAGTTTCATCTCACCCCAGAAAAAACCAAGTTCAAGGTCCCAGAACAGAAAGGGACACCATCATAGGGTTGCTATTTGAGGAAGGAGAAAACAAACAACCACAGGGGGCTATTTGCACATTTGCTGACAGATGCAGCACAAGCTGTTCATGTACTACCTAGCACAGAGCTTCACATCTGGAGAATCCTCTATTTTTAAACAACCAGCTCCTAGCTCTTGTGGCTGCTGGGAAAAGCTTGAAAGTGCAAGGGCAGAGCCTGGTGAAATCTGATTGCAGAGTTGCAGAGTCCCAAGCCTGCTTTCTGTCTCAGAGAGAGACAAAGACAGACAGACAGACAGACAGAATCATGGCGGGGAGTGAGATACTGTTTGTCTAATGATTGCTCAATGGTGAGAAAAATGCCCTCTTTGCTAACTCAGGGAAATTATCTTCCTAGTCATTACTACTTCACATGCTCAGAGGCTGGGCAGAACATCTGAAAACAGGTTCTGGGGCTAGACCCCGGGCGAGGCAGTGATCAAACTCAGCTCCTGTGAAAACTCTGAAGCCCCTTCAGAACTTTACTTATAAGAAGGAGAAACCTTAAAATAAAACCGTGGACAACAGCAAATCTTCTGCCCTGCTTGCAAGATGGAAGATCTTCCGGGGGGGGGGGGGGGAGAAGGGGGCTAATTGGACAGGTGCTTCGTCAAGGTTCCCAGAAAACGGAGAAGAGAATCTGGTCAGGTCATTTTGACCCTGATTCTCATCCAAGGGAGCATATGAGCCCCTGGCTGCTTTAATTAGGGCGTCTGCAACCTGAGTCGTTGCATGTCAGAGCAGCCTGTCTCAGCAGATTTCCTCTCGTCCTGCAGTTGCATATATACATATTCTCATACAAGACCTTCCTGGTGAGCCTTGGGTTTTGTTAAGATTCCTGATCCCAGTCACCTAATTCTAAGGGATTCCTGTCCTAGGTCACTGCCTCCAGGGCCCCTCTATCATATGTCGAGAGAGGTCATGTTCCAACCCAGCATGAATCAATCCAATTAACGACACTCAGAAGATCCGCTGCAAACGGCATGCGTGATGTGCTACACGCAAGGCTTACAATACTAAACCACCAGGCAAGAGAAACACAGGAACACTCGGATCCTGAATTACAGCCTGCGGTTTGTATTGCACCTTGGCCTGTGAGTTAGCAGAGAGTCCACAGAGCTAGGTGGGACCCCTCAGGGAGGGGCTATCAGTGAAGACAGTTTCAGGGACACAATCTGAACCTATTTCTAAAGAACGAACAGTTTTAATCCCTGCAGAATTTGAGATCAGGGGGAGAGAAAGATAGGAGAAAAGTGTCATCTTGAGTCAGACTCATTGGGTCTGCACTGACTTGCAGCAGCTCTTCAACTGTATGGAAAAACTTTGCACACAGGAGAGTGTGAGGTCTGTGCCTCCTTGACTTCCTTGCTCAAGACACCTGGAGGGGTTTGGTTAAAACAGTTCTCCAATGAAGAAGAAGAAGAAGAGTTTGGATTTGATATCCCGCCTTTCACTCCCTTTAAGGAGTCTCAAAGCGGCTAACATTCTCCTTTCCCTTCCTCCCCCACAACAAACACTCTGTGAGGTGAGTGGGGCTGAGAGACTTCAGAGAAGTGTGACTGGCCCAAGGTCACCCAGCAGCTGCATGTGGAGGAGCGGAGACGCGAACCCGGTTCCCCAGATTAGGAGACTACCGCTCTTAACCACTACACCACACTGGCTCTCAATGAGCCCTACAAAACACCCCAAAATCTGGACTGAACATGTAGGTCACTGGAAGGTGGTGGTTGATGAACCTGTCTTGGGAAGGACTCTGGACTCTGGCTCTGTTCTGAACACAATCACCCTCCGTCTCAACAACAGCATGGAGATGCTTGGTGCAATTAGCACATGCACAACTCAGGAAATGCAAGAGTGTCTTATACAGAGTCAGCCCATTAAATTCAGTACTGTCTACACTGACCAGCAGTGGCTCTCCGGAGCTTCAGGCAGGGAGTTATTCTCAGCCGTTTCTGGAGATCCTCATCATCTGCTTATTTGATTGGGGAAGCACCAGAGCGCTCAGTGACAGAGCATTTGCCCTGCATGCAGAAGGTTCCAAGTTCAACCCTTGGCATGTCCAGGTAGGGAAAACCATGGAGAACCAGGGCTGCTGGTTGGAGCAGACAATGCGGAGCTAGATGGACACAAGACCTGACTTGGTATAAGACAGCGTCCTATTTTCCTACATCACTTTCCCCAGATGATGCTGGGGACTGAACTTGGAAACTTTTGCTTGCAAAGCATGTACTCTGGGCCCTCCATCAAGACAGGGATAGCCAACATGGTGCCCTCCAGATGTTTGCTGCACTCCCAACTACCAACATCCCAGCTAGCATGGAAAATGATCAGAGGTGATGCGAGTTGTAATCCAGCAACATCTGAAGGGCACCACATGGGCTATCCCTGCTTTCAGACATAGGAACGGAAGACACTGTTCAACCAGCTTAGTACTACCTACACTGATTGGCAGCAGTTCTCCAGGGTTTCAGATAGGGAGCCTTTCCCAGCCTTACCTGGAGAAGCCGAGGGTTGAACCTGGGACTTTTCGTATGAACAGCAGTTGCTCTACCCCTAAGCTATGGCTATTCCCCTTCCAGCATAGAGGGGCATATGCAGCTTGCAAAACACTGAGCAAGGCACAAGGCCTGCCTTTTTGTATACTAAGCTATCCCTGCATGCCCTTGGATCTGTCATGTATGATCTAGCTGAGATTCCTGCATTTCAGGGGGTTGGACTAGCGGGCCCCCAGGGTCCCTTCCAACTCTACAACTCCGATTCTACAGTTTCTTTTGAAACCAGCTTTATCACTGAGTTTCCCTGAAACACAGAGAGAGCTTTCTTCCTGAGAAAGCTCTCTTGTAACAACGCCTTGCCTTAACCCAGAAAGCAGGGGCAGATTCTCTCCATCTATTTTTAAATGCAAGATTCACTTTGTTCTGTCTGCCTGCACAAAAAGTACATCTGCAGTCTGATACATTTATGGAGATCAGTACATTCTGTACTGCGGGTGGGGAGGCTTTTGTTACTGACCTTGGCTGCGAGGATGCACACACGCTCCCTCCCCTCCCAGTGTCTCATTTAACTCCACTGTTATCATCCCGAGGGGGGAAAACAATTCCAAATCACCCACCTCAGTATGCAAAAAAGAAAATAAAATAAAATTGGGGGACACACCAATGAGACCAGCAAGCTCCAATGGCTCTCCAGGGTTTTAGGCTGGGGTTTTTCCTGCCTGGAGATGCCACTGGGGAGTGAACCTGGATCCTTCTGCATGCAAAGCAGCTACTCTACCCTGAGCCTGGCCACTGGTCCATCTGACTCAGCATTGTCTGCACCAAGGATCTTACACCTTTCCAGATCCCAGGACCCACTTTTAACCCAAACATACATTTGGGGACCCATTTCTTAACCCTTTACCATACATTTGCATGGTAATAGCTCTCATGTTGGATCAGGCTGTGACCCGCGAGTGGGTCCTGACCCACCAACTGAAGATCAGTGGTCTACACTGACTGGCAGCAGATCTCCAGGCTTTTTGGCAGGGATCTTGCCTACCTGGAGATCCCAGCGAGGGACTGAGCCTGGGAACTTCTGAATGCAAGGCAAATGTTCTGCCACCGAGCTACAGCCTTCCCCTTAAGACGTAGGAAGCTGCTGTGCCCAGAGTCAGGACACTGGTCTCTCTAGCTCAGCACTGTCCAGGATTGGCAGTGGCTAGCCAGGGTTTCATACGAGAGTTTTTCTTCCTTGGAGATCCCAAGGGAAGACACTGAGGATTAAAAGCAAGTGCTCCACTACAGAGCTACAGCCTTTCCTCAATATTTAGGGGGGGGGATGGAAGGTGTTGGTGCTGGGAGTAGCATTGGGCAATATATCAATATATCACCCAGGACTGGTATTGGGCGGGGGGGGGGGGGAAGATACCACTGGTGAAACCACCACCACACTCTGCCCCGGCAGAGGGAGAAATAAACTGCATCAGCGAGTTGCCGATAAAGCTTCTTCCTCCCTCCTTCTTCCTCCCTCCGCTTCTTTAAACTGCTTGACTGAGGAGCGCGCTGCTGCCCTCTCCTCAGCAAAGTACTTTTACGGAGACGGCGGTGGGATGGGAGCTCCGTTAGGTGCTCCCCCCCCCCCCCAGCTGAGAGAGCCCTAACCCCGCTCCTGCTTGCACTTGGGTAGGAGTGGGATTGGGGCTGCAGCCTTGCTTGGCTGCCTTCGTCTGGGAGGGGGTGCTGCGCCTTTCCTCCCAGAAAGACAGAGCCCACCCTCAGGGTGGAAGGCAGCCAGGCAGTGTAGGGGCTCTTTGATGCTGCTAGCAGGCAGCAAGCCCACACAGGTGAAGGCTAAGGCAGTCAAAGCCCAGAGCCTGACAGGCTCAGTGTGCTTGGCTACTGCCGCCTGGTCTGTCTTTGGGGAGTGGGGGGCGAATGGGCAAGGTAGCTCGCCTGCCCCCATGCCAGCGAAGGTGGAGGCGGCCTGGCCAAGGAGTCCCAAGATCCTTGCTGCTCGAGCACGAGTGGCAGGGACACCGGGGCTGGCTCTGCGGGGGGCAGGCGGCCTCCTGCCCCCAGCTGAGCCCGGTCAAGGAGCCCTGAGTCCCCTGCCGGTTTTGCACGGGGGACTCTGGGCTGCCTCTGCTGGGGGGCAGGAGACTTTCGGGCCCCCAGCTGAGCAGCAGGCTGGGGCCAGCTGTATTTGCCACAGCCCGCGAGGTGCTTACGTAAAAGCGCCTCAGCTCCCATAGTGAGAGCTGTGGCAGTTTCACCCAGCACCTCGCTGGCTGGGGCCAATGCAGCTTTTTAACAACATTGCGGTTTATCTCTAAACCACAATGTTTGGCTGGCAATACACTGCAATGTTGAAAATCCAACATCGTGCAACCCTAGTTGGGAGGAAGCAGGTTAAAAGTGCCCTTTAAGCAAGTACAGGGATCTAGCAATGAAAAGGCAAGCAGTAAAGCCAGCTCCTTGCCTGTGCTTATGTGTGCGCGCATACACACACACACGCACACACACACACACACAAAACTCCGTGTGCATGCTCTGGAGCCTCCCCATCTCTCTCTCAACAGTTTAAATTGGCTACAATTTTCTCTTGGGGAGGCAAATCGTGGGAAATATATTAAACATGCGTCCAAAGCAGGGAGGATCACCTTCTAAAAAGAGCAAATATTGCTTGTGGTCAGCACTCTATGAAAATACATGCAACTCTCCTCTCCCCAGTGTTCTGCCCCCAGTGTGTCCAGGAAGCAGAACCCCAGATACTGTAAACAGCCTCAGTTCTTTAATGGGAGAGGAAGGAAGGGAGTGGTGTTTTCAGTTCTACCCCAATGGGGAAAGCAAACTGCTACACTTGGAGGTTATGTTACGGGGGGTGTGTGTCACCCTTCTACTGTGATGCTGGGTGTCGTGGGCAACGTGGATCCTGCTGGAGGGATGAATCATTGGCTCTGTGTTCAAGATCCTTGAAATATTAAAGTCTTGTCTCCCTTCCTGTCATCACTGGCGGGACTGTGGGTTTTCTCCAACTCCTCAGAGTAGAGCCACTGAAACTGATGGACATGACCAAGTTAGGCCTACTTACGAGTGGCTGATGAGAACTTAGTTGGGATACGACCCACTCATTTGTTTCAAGCTGTTCTGAATATTTTTTTAAATTGCTGCAACCAACCCTGGGAACTTATGGGTAAGGGTGGGGGGCAAGAAACTGAAATGATGGTGCTGGATGTTCTGTTAGAACAACACACTTTTCAAGAACAATCAAACCATCACAGAGCTTCCTACCCACTGGAGCCTGTTCCTACAATGAACATGCACCAGTTTTTACCACTACCCACAGCTGCACTAAAGACTGGTGTGTATCACCAGGTGTCACACAGAAGAGGCACCTTCCTTGAAATGGGTCAGGGTGCCAACAGAGGTGCAAAAAGTAATCTAAACTGGAGGGCAAAAATACCCCACTTTGCACAATTCGTTGTCCTCCCTGAATGCCAGCCCTCTTCGAAAACATTCTACTAGAATGGAGAGCCTACTGAGCTCAAGGACGGATTATAGCAGTAAAAGGAGTAGAGAGTGACAGAGGACAGTGAACTCGGGAGACCTCGCTGCAGTCAGAGGGGGGTAGGGATTACACAGACCCCAGCTTAAGACACACGTTAAGGACAAGTGGGCTCGTATTTGAGATCGTGAATGCCTCTCTGCTCTGCTCCAAGGCTCCCTTGCATAACTTCTCCTAAGCTGGAAGCTCAGCAACGCGGCTCCTGTTAAGTGACCCCTGACAGGAGAAGGAGCTGCACTGAGTCCATGACAGGAGAGGAGACCTATTTTTTAGTGCAGGGGACCCTGCTGGCCTCGCTAATGCCCTGAGTGGTTGTATCAAAGGCATTTCACATCAGAAATGTGCTTCGCAGTTTCTCTTAGGTTTGCCCTTAAAATGTTCCACCGTGTACATTTTTTCTCATTTGAGTGATGAGGATCAAGGCTAAGTAAATAAAGGGACTTCCCTCCACAGGCTGGTGGTGGTTCAAATTCAATATGGTCCACTCTGCATCACACTAGCACTGAGTGCATCACTTCAGAATGCTCCATTAAAAATGCTCGCATTTTTTTACTGTGTAAAAAACAACAAAAGACTTCCTGCAACTTGAAAACTAACACATAAGGGACAGAAATTCCAGTTTAGCTCTCCCAGGTACACTACTTTTTTTTCATTTGCTGGGAAAAACACTCCCCCCAAAGAAACAGGCGGCCCCTCCCCACCCAGCTCAAAAAGAAATGGACGGCATCAGGGGCTGACACACAGTGTCAGTGGAGTACACCACTGCTATAAACTCACCTTGATGCAGCGGGTCCTGTTGATGGAGGTGTAGATGCGAGTGTATGTGCGAATGTTGGTGATGATGCGGGGTGACGTTGAACATCTGCAGCCGGGCCAAGGGGTCGTTGGTGAGCGATGCCATCCGCTCCGCATGTATCCTCTCGGCGGCCAGTCTGTCCGGGTAGCTCATCTCAGGCCGCAGCTGGGGGCCTGCCAGAGCGAGTCTCTCCCGCTCCAGGGGGTTCAAGCCCGGGTGGAAGG